ATTCTCCTGACTTTCCCCTGCACCACATCCTGCCTTTATAACCTCGGCCATATTCATCAAAACACCGGTTGATCGCCCACACAAACATTTTTTTTACACAATGGAATATTTTCGTACCTATAGAATACAAAACGGATGCAAATGTTTCAATAACAATAGGACTACTATTTATTATTCTTTGAAACATTCTAGCCATAATTAATAATTTTTACAGACACTCCATTATTATGTGGCCTGTCAGAGTATCAAACGCTCTTGTTTCTCAAGATGTTCAATACCAGGACAACGAGACGTGCGGTCAGGAGCTGCCTCACCTGTCATCATCAAAAGTAAAAAAATAAATAATGACTAAATAAAATAAATATATATATTTTTTTACTGATCTGTGTTTTCAATGCAATTTCTGTAGATTCCAAAAAATCATTTTCATCATAAAAATCGCTGAATTCGCATATATCTGGTCGGCTCCGCCAGAGACATGCGAGGTGAGGCAGCGACGAGTTGAGCCTCATCTCAGATTGTTCAATCCCTCACAAACTGGGTCGAGTATGTCTTTTTCTTTCTTACAGTTTGTCACCAATGTAATGTTTGTAGACACTTTAATTATACGCCCTCACTTTCCATAGAATAATTCATGTATTTCATGTGTGTTTATAACATATTTAGTCTAATTTGACATAAAACTGCACTGAAAAAGCATGAGGTAAGCCAGTACCTCTGCTCACCTGAAGGGGGCGTGCGTCAGGTTGCGTGAGGCTCATAAGGCCAAGAGTTTATGTTGGTTTGATGTTGATCCTCTACTATGCAGAATTTTTATTTGAAAGTGATAAATAATGGAATACTTTTAAAACTAAAAGAAGATAATGAGGACTTTTACAACAAAGTCACGGATATTTTAGTCCAGAAGGCTAGGTGAATGGACTTGTTTACACTGCAGTAAGTGTCTACTTTTATTTTTATTTAATGAGTATGAATTGTAATGGAAAAACATTTGAGGCGCTATAAATGTAACATTCTTCCCTGGCTAAATATGCACCTTACTTCTGTGTGTGTGTGTGTGTGTGTGTGTGTGTGTGTGTGTGTGTGTGTGTGTGTGTGTAAATAATGCTGATATGAGATATGAAACACAACCAGAATGTGCAAGCTGCCAGTTTAATGTTGAATTTAAGCTACTCTATAAATGGGTTCATATATTTGTAAATCTGACTCTGAAAAAGTCAGTGCCTCACCAGCCACGAACCTCACCGTCACTGCAACGAGGGCAGCACGCAAGATCTCCAAGAACTTTCACTTTGCGATTACCGCTTTGCCCCGCCAAACCAAAGACGATTGATCATCCAGGACAGAGCAGCATAACTAGATGTTTTCCTAACTACAAAATGGAACAACCTCATAGGGAGACAGCGCTCATAGCGGACAGACGAGCAAGATTGAGCGAGTGTGTGATTACGCACAGAGGAGAAAGATGAAACAGTTCACCTGTTCTATTGTAACTTCATTTCCCAGAGTAAAGTGTGCTCTACACTGCAGACTGGAGTCTTTGTTAACAGAATGTTGCGGTCAAAACAGCTTCAACGTGCGATGAGTGTGCATTGATGTCTGCACGTCCGCTCGCCACACTCACTTCTCTAATTATAATACAGTGTTAAAACGATCATAACACGTCTGTGTGAAGTTTTATTTGAGGTTTGCTGTCTGTTGATGTAAGAACGTTGAACGTTAATACAAAGTAGGCCTATTACTAACAATTATTAAAATCCCGAAAATTCAAATGAATCAATAGATACAGTCGGCATCGCGTCATAGCTGGGGGCGGGGCCTCCCGTGGGGGAAAAGAATCACAGAAAGAAAATAACTACAAAACGATTACTCGAGTACTCGCTTTAACAATGGGAAGAGTAATCGATTAGAGAAAATTTTGCATTTCTGCATCCTTAAGCACAACCAACATGGTGCAGCATTTAATCCACACCTAAGAAATATTAAATAATGCTACTTGAACTTATATTGTTCACTGAAATATTTAAAGTCTGTATGAGACGTTTTTCTAAGAAAGAGTCTTAACTGCAGACTCCATGAGCATTTTTCTTTGCACTAATTCACTCTCCTGTTCATCTCAACTTAACTGAATAAATTAGAGATTGAGTAATGAGTTATATAATATTCATTAAATGTATTCATGTTCATATAAATACATGACTAAAACGTTTCAAATGGAGGTTACTTTACGGTTTTATATTGAAGTATTTTGCATGAATTCCCGTAAAAAAGTTTAAATAAATGAACCGCTAAACCGGAAGTACAGGTTTTATTTTGAAATTGATTGCGTTTATCTCCGGTCCTTATTGAAGTTAGAGGAGCCTCAGCCTTTACTCAGTAACGGATGTGTTTCTAAAACGTATCTTTAATAATCATATCTACTTTAAATACTAAAATGAACACAAAGATCCATTGGTGGAGTCAATAAGTCCAGACTAAAGAGTCTTTAAGTAAAGTCAATGATGTTGTTAGCCTAAGCTAGCTGCGGCTAACACTGTGCTGTGTGCGTCTATGGACTAAAGGCTCTGCTCCCTGAAACATAAGCAGGAAACACGTTTCCAGCAGTGGAAAGAAAACCTACCTGCTCTCTGCAGCTTGATTTCAGGTATTAAAATCACATCCAGCACTTTTCTTTGTCGGTGGAGCTCCTCTTCGTATCCACATGTTGTTGTTCTGATATATCTCTGATAACCGCAGCGAGCAGCCGCCGTCTGAACAAATCTTTAAGATCCTGAAACCCGGACATCTGACACACATCCAAGAGTCACAGAAGAACTCAACACTGACGATACTCTGATAACCTACAAAGTTACAGACACACGTGTTATCTGTGAAAGAGACGGAAATAAACTCTACATCCTCTATTCTTCTATTAGTTTTCCAGCAGACTGTACACTGTAGAATGTAATGCTGCCCTCCACAGTCTAGGAGTGTGTACTACATTCATATCTTCTGATACAGGCCAGTAGCATGTAAGAATCTAAGAGCTGCGCCCCCAACAGATTGAAAGTTTGTATAGAAAATATAGACTTAAAGGAGAAAGATGAGAGTCCCAGGTCAGATGAATAACTGACTTCTTTCATTCTTATATTTAACACAAACAAAGACAAGATGACGGACTGTTTCCTCCTTTCCACACTGACACAGACCATCAGGGTGTTTACTGATGACCTTTAAATAACTGGACATACCACAATGTCCTAACCTCAGCCTAGTTAAAAGTACATCATCCTTTCTACAAGATTTTAGCAGTAGCCTTTTCCTTTTTATTGATGGTTGCAGAGAGAAAAAATGCCTGCCCTTTCTCTCTTCATCCCATTCTCTTTGCCACTGACACTCTAACTTTTCTTTACAAACACTATAACATTCACCTTTCTCCAAAGGAACATTCATCTCAATACACTGTTTGAAGAGAGACTCCTTTGAAAGTGTGTCAGAGATTTCATTCCCCTCAATCCCTGAATGACCTGGTACCCAGAAAAACTGAATCTGACACCCCAAATTCTCAACCTGAAGTAACCAGCAGAGGATCTCCTGAACCAAATCAGGACCAGATGCTGAAGAACCCTCTTTCAATGCCAACAAGGCAGCTGCCGAGTCAGAACAGATTCAACTCTTTGGAGGTTGAACCTCCACAACCCACCATATGGCCCATAAAATAGCCAAAAGTTCAGAAGTAAACACAGACAAATGATCAGATATGTGGACACTCTGTCAGATCTGAAGATTAACCACATACATACCAAACCCAGCTTTCCCTGAGACTGGATCCTTGGACCCATCTGTGAAAACCTGCATATATTCATCCTGCATCTGATTTACATACACGCTTCCTGCTAGACTTCTGAGGATGTTATTCACTTTCTCACATTTACAGATGATTTTTTCTACATGAGTTTTCCAAGTAAGTCTCTTATCCATACACCAAGAAATGTGAACACATTAACCCTTTCATAGGAACAACCATTGTTAGGTGGGGTTGTTTCTGTAGTAAATGTTCAATGAGGACTTCATGAAACAAGGTTCAAGGTTCAAGGTTCAAGGTTGTCTTTATTATCCCTGCGAGAGGGCAATTTGTTTTGCAGTCAGCAGTAAAACACACACATACATACAGCCCGAAATGAGCAAACAACATAGAAAGGACAGTAAATAAATACAATAGATAAGAAACAGAGGCAACACAGATAGTGGTTTAAAAAGGTGATGGCAGCAGGAACAAATTAGTTTCTCATCCTCTTTGTCCTGCATGCTGGCAGGCTGAATCTGTGGCCTGACGGCAGCAACTTAAAATCCTTGGACAAAGGATGACTTTGATCTGCCAAGATTGACTGAGCTTTCTTAAGACATTTTGTCTTATATGAATAAGAAAGGTCAGAAAGGGACGATCCTGTGATTCTGACACACAGTTTAACAATGATCTGCATTTTGTTGCGGTTTTTGATGCTGAGTGATCCGTACCAGGTCACCATGCAGAAAGTTAAAATTGATTCAATAAAACAGGGATAAAACATCTTCATAAAAGTGCTGTCAACATCAAAATTCAGAGGGATTTTTCCTGAAATCTACTTTCATTTCTTTAGTCTTTAGGACATGTCCAGGAAGGATGACCTGCACCAGTCTTCTTCAGGTACTGGTGGCTGTCTGCAGCACTCTTGTCCAGTTGCGTTCAATGACGTTGAAGGAATTAAAGTAAAGAAAGTCTCTGTGTTCCAACCAGATAGTTACTGATTGCGCCCCAAACTCTTAAGAATATGCCATGGAAGTAGTCAGGTTGAGATGGGTGTCTCCGCTGAAGTTGGAAGCATGTGAAGAGATAGAACAATGACTGCTTTTATTGACCCTACACTTAACACCAATGTGTTAGCTAGAGAATACACCATTATGGAACTAATCATTCCCTTCAGTGATTCTAAACTGTGATTGTTTTTATGCATTATGTATTTATACTTCATTTCTGTACAGCGTCAAATCCATGGACCTTCTTGAAGACTCCGTTTTAGTAGATGAAGAACAAGCTAACAGCCTTGAGAACAACATGTAAGTAACAAAAAATCATGATCATATCATGCATGGCTATGTAAGAGTGTGTACATTTGTATTTGTTTTTTGCTTGCAGGATTGATTTGGAGGGAGAACTGGCCTTAGACCTCTCTGATGTTGACTATGTCCCACCAATATGTGTGCGGTAAGCTTTGTAATAATATAATGATGGCCATGTTTGTCAGCTAAGTGTTTCAGACATGGAAAGATTCACTCAGTCGTCAGTTGGTGATGACTTTCAAAGTAAAACATTGCGTTACATTTTCATATTCTTCCTACCACAGTGCTAGCAGTGCAATTCAAAAGCCATTGATAGGCTTCCCATTATTGGACTGGAAGAGGCTGTTCTGGACATCCATGACCATGAGGCTGTACCATCACATGAGCCAAACATTCTGGATGACCTAGAGCAACATGCATCTGACACATCCTCCTTCCCTGGTCTAGAAAAGGTTGCTGTTGAGAGTGACCTCATTAACTAGCCTGGCCACCTTCCTCCAGCTATCCATCCGGAAGTGCAATTACAGCGACTGCATCACAGGCACAGAGTGTGATGGTGTTCCACCATTTCAAATGAAGCTGCTTTCACTGGGTACTTCAGTGTTGTGACTGACGATAACAGAGAGACTGACCGGAAGAGATGTTTACATTAAAGACATTTCGACAAGCTAATTGAAAAGATCCAAATCAAGGAGATTGTGACTGATGCACACTTACAGATAGCAGCCCTAATGGGTGAGTATATATTTTGAGGGAATTTTTGTGTTGCTTACATCTACAATGTCTGTATGTGAAGGTTTTAAAAGTTAAAAATATACAAACAATGCAAGTACATTGTTTATATATTGTAATGTAGTTAGAGCAAAGTTTTCCAGACCATAGAAAATCGGGAGAATTTGGTGTTATGTGATTGTTTGTGTTTGTTTTTCATTGAAGATCCAGAGAAAGGGAGGTACCAGGACCATGGCATTGTTCATCCCTTGGACATCTGGCATGCAACTAAAAATCTCACAAAGAGACTCCAATTGGTTAGTGACAAAAACCCAGATGACATCATTCTGTTCATTCCAGTTGATAATGGTGTTACTGTTTGTTTTTATAGTATGTTTGTACTACTTGTTTATGTTATTGAAAATGAATGGCAATGAAAATAGACTTGCTAAAATAAATTGATGTATGTGTAATTTGTTCCAAGGCTGTGATTATATCAGGTCAGACTGATATTCTTCCATGGATCAAGGACATTGTAAACCACTTTTGGATTTCCTTTCAAATGTGAAGTTGTTAAATTGTTTACGTAGAGGAACAAACCCCCCAAAAAGGCTTTAGTTTTCGAGATACCCCTACCCAAGGTAGAACAAAGCACGACCATATTTTTTTATAACTTTAACATGTCTAGTTTATGAAACGGATAGTTGTATAAAAATATTCTGGTACAATGGGGCTCTATGGATGTGTATGTGGGAGGAGGTTGCCACAAACAATTGATTAAAACTTAACAACAAGACACAATATAATTGTATTCTGTATATATATATATAATTAAACATTTTATAGTTATTCCTAATACATTTTGTCTCACATTTTCTATCTTACATATGATTTATATGATGACACTCAGAGTCAACCCGCTGCTTTCAACAATATTGTCACCTATGACATTGTTTCTATTTCATTCTAAAAAATTAAAGCGTTGCAGCTGCTCAAAAGCCAGTTTTCCCAGAGACTCAATCATCTTCCTGCTCTCTGGACTCCAGTGTGGATCTGTCTCAGCTCCTCCATCATACTTGATGTTCTTCAGTTTGGACTGAACCACCAGGAAGTAGATATACATCTCAGTCAGGGTCTTGGGCAGCTTTCCTCTCTCTCTGGTCTTTAGCACACCCTCCAGAACTGTAGCAGTGATCCAGCAGAAGACTGGGATGTGGCACATGATGTGGAGGCTTCTGGATGTCTTGATGTGGGAGATAATTCTGCTGGCCTGATCCTTATCTCTGAATCTCTTCCTGAAGTACTCCTCCTTCTGTGGGTCAGTGAACCCTCTGACCTCTGTCACCATGTCAACATACTCAGAAGGGATCTGATTGGCTGCTGCAGGTCGTGTTGTTATCCAGAGGTGAGCAGAGGGAAGCAGTTTTCCCTGATGAGGTTTGTCAGCAGCACATCCACTGAGGTGGACTCTGTGACATCAGTCAGGATCTCGTTGTTTTTAAAGTCCAGAGGAAGTCGACACTCATCCAGACCGTCAAAGATGAACACAACCTGGAACTCTTCAAACCTGCAGACTCCTGCTTCTTTGGTTTAAGGAAAGAAGTGATGAACAAGTTCCACCAAGCTGAACTTTTTCTCTTTCAGCACATTCAGCTCTCTGAAAGTAAATGGAAATGTGAACTGTATGTCCTGGTTGGCTTTGTCTTCAGCCTAGTCCAGAGTGAACTTCTGTGTTAAGACTGTTTTCCCGATGCCAGCCACTCCCTTTGTCATCACTCTTCTGATTGGTTCATCTCTTCCAGGTGAGGCTTTAAAGATGTCTTCTTGTCTGATGGTTGTTTCTGGTCTGTGTGGTTTCCTGGATGCTGTTTCAATCTGTCTGACCTCGTGCTGATCATTGACCTCTCCAGTCCCTCCCTCTGTGATGTAGAGCTCTGTGTAGATCTGGTTCAGAAGGGTTGGGTTTCCTGCTTTAGCAATCCCCTCAAACACACACTGGAACTTCTCCTTCAGGTTAGATTTGAGTTCACGCCGACATGCAGCACCTGATCCTGAATAAAGAAAGAACTGAAATCAATTAACAGATCCTGATATAGATCACATGACTATCTGAGTTTGAAACTTTAAACCTTTTTCTAAAATACTAAATCTGTTCAAATGTTCTTACTGCTGTGCAGACAGTCAGCCAGCTCCTCCTGCTTCATTCTCCTCAGGAAGTGGAGAGTGATCTTCAAAAATGCCTCTTTACAACTTCTTCGCTGCTCTTCATCCTCACTCTGACTCTCTAAGCATTCTGGGTAATCTGGACTCAGAACTCTCTGGACTCTCTTCAGCTCGTTCTTCACAAAGGTGACAATGTTCTCCTCCAGCAGCTGGAAAAGAAGGAGACACTGGATATTCAATAAAAACTGGTAGAACTCAACATGTGATTCATCTGTCAGTCTGAAATAACTTAGCATTAAATTCTTGTAATGGTAGAATATTAAATAACAGTGTGTTGAACACACCATAAAGATGGAGTCCAGGTCTGTTGGATTCTGCTGGTCTGATTGATCTCTGTGAACCTCGGAGCTCTCCTGTTGAACTCTGTGACAGGACATATTAGACAAGAAAACAACGGGTCATATATTATGAAGCTCTGAGCCAAGACATGAGTCTCTGAACAACAGAGTCAGAACATTCACTTGATTTTTAATTCTTACCTTCCATCAGCAGGACGTCCATCTTTAAACTTAATAATAAGACCTTTAGACCGGTCACTCTTCATGGACACACAGCTGGGTCCAGGAGAGTCTGGTCTCTGTTCCTGCATCCTGATGCAAACAAATTGCTGGTCAATAAAAGCATGTTGAACAAAGATCAATTTTTTCTTTTTTTTTTAATGAGTTTGTTAATTTTTAAAGAACAAAACTAAAATTAAACTAAACAAAAAATCCACCCCAAACTAACAGATGCTAAAAATGACTTATACAAAGACCTCATAAATATCACAGCGAAAAACACAAATATTTGAATACATAGATATAGACAAGCATCCACACATACAAACAAATACATTAAGACTGTAAATGAAGCAGAAAATAAATGAGTGGCATAGTCAGGTTTGCAGTCATAGTTAAACAGTGTCTTGCAAGACAAATGCTTCAGAGTCTCTGAAGGAAAGAGTCCAAAAGCTTCCACAGTTTCCAGAATTCGTCAGTTTTATGGTTGAGGTCTTGAGTCAATTTCTCTAAAGGGAATAAGGCTGCGATTTCTGACATCCACGTATCGACAGCTGGGACCTTTGGAGCAGACCAATGTAGCAAGATACACAAAAATAAAAGGATAACTAACAGAGATTTTACATCTGAATTAAAAAAGCAAGGCAAGTTTATTTATAGAGCACATTTCAATAACAAGCAGTGTTAATCTTGTCAACGAAATAAATGACGAAAATATTCATTGACGAAGGTCTTTTTAAATTAGTCAACTATGACGATGATGAGACGAAACTCCGCTATTTGACGATTTGATGAATAATGTTACTTCATCATCTAATTGACGAAAATGTGATGAAACGAAAACTACATTACAAGTGACGATTATCACTTGATAAAGAAGTGTTAAACCCACTCAGCTGTTCTAAAATCATTGTAAACCATAGCATATTTCATCAAAGGTGTGCGTGTGTGGTGAGTGCAACAATGTGCAGCCTGGAGCCTGGAGCCTGCAGGTTAGTGATGTGTAGTTCACTACGAACGAATCATCTGGGTGAACGAACTGAACTGAATCACTTACTGAAAAGAGTCGTTCATTTCTCAACTTCAGTTGCGCTCTCCTCTCTCCCGTCTCGTGTCTCTCTCTCTAGACTGTAAGAGTCACTCAAAGCCCGCCCTCCCTCCTCTCCTCAGTCAGTACAGTGTGTGTGTGTGTGTGTGCGTGTGTGTGTGTGTGTGTGTGTGTGTGTGTGTGTGTGTGTGACTGAGGCTGGTGACTCGCAGTCTTGCTCGTTCACGTTCAGTCAGTGTTTCGTTCACTGAACGTACTGAGAGGAACAGAGTGACTTGGAGGCGGAGCTCCGACATGAATCACTGAACGAACTGAACGAGAGCTCCGACGTGAATCACCGAACGAACTGAACGAGAGCTCCTACATGAATCACTGACTGACTGAGAGGAAGAGCGGAGCTCTCATTCAGTGAACGGACTGAACGTGTGCTGAACGTACTGAACAGAACGGTCCAGCTGCTCTTGCTTGTTGTATCTTTGGCCATAGTGCAGCTTCTGCAGCAGTAAAGAGCACCTTGGAAAAACTCCATTTGATGGACCAAATGTTGGATGTGCTAATATCCCTCCAATGGATTGTTCCAGGGCCTAGTGTTGACTTACAACTTGTAGAGCAAAAGTGAGAATGGTTTAAAGAAATGTGGCTAACATTGGGCATTTGGTTGAAGGTTATTTACAAAAGAAAAATTATAACTACATAGCTACTGATGGATCCAAAGAGCCAGAGAGTGGACATGTGGGGACAGGAGTGTTCATACCTGAGTTTGATATAGAAATATGTAAAAGAATGAATAATAAATGATCTGTGTTTACAGCAGAACTAACTGTTATAATATTAGGGTTGAATGGATGCATGAGGTAAGGCCAGAGAGAGCTGTCGTTTGTTCAGATTC